CATGTAAAATCTCAATTAAATATTCAATAAAGATAGAGGCATGGCCTCACCATTAATATTAAAAAAAAAAAAAAAAGAAATATAATGATTTGGTAGAATAATAAGCTCATGTGATAAGTAAATGTAGACTTTTGTTTTGTCAATCTTTAATGTTATTATAAAAGTATTTAGTAAATAAATAGAATTGATTTGTTGTAAGTATTAAAAAAAAGTTTTTATAGTAGGTTGGAAGTGTAGTAGAGAAAGATGATGATATTGAAGAAATTTGTTATAGCAGATGTTCAAATCATAGGAATTTAATAATGTTGATAATGATTTAGATTTGGATCTTCTGTAGAGTTACTTGCTGTTTTAAGCTCAGTTTTTACAGCTGTAAAGAGTGCCATAGCCTTCTCTGTATGTTGGATCTGATCATTATTATTTTGGTTTTCTATGTAAATAGACTTATTCATCTGTCCATTTATATTATTTTCTTCTAAAAATGGTCTACTAAATGTAAACAACATCATTATTTTAGAGACAGTAGCTGTATTTATAAATTCTACAGAAAAAATTATTGAAAAGGGCTATAAAAGGTTGTTGAAAATAAAATAGTAGAGTTTTAGTTTAGGTTTGGTTTAGAAATAGGGTTTTCAGTAACTTGGTTGATGTTAGAAGGTTTTTGGTTTGTATTGGAGTCAGACATAATTATGTCATCATTATCAATTGTTAAAAAGTTTGATGGAGTTTGGTTTATTTCTTCTGGTTTAATTATATCAGCTGTTTTAACTATGTATTTAGTAGTAGTTAAATTGGATTTGGGTTTGAATAAGTTAGTGCTAATTTTAGAAGATTTAAATTGTACTTTGAATTTTGAAAACAAAGTTTTCTTTGCTTTTGGATAAAAACATTTTTTGTAAGCTTTTTAATATATAAGATAAATAGTTGTTAAGAGATTTAAAAATATAAAAATAAGTAATTACTCTGGCTAAGTAATAAGTATCAACTGGTTTAGATGCAATTTTATTAATTGCTTGTTAAAGATGAAGATTATCAATTTGATCATTAATAACAGCTGCATTTAGATATGCATTAAAATATATATAAAAATAATAACTTTTACAACTATAATCAGAATCTTTTGCTTTGTTAAGTTTGTTTTCTTTTAAGAATTTTTATTTAGCTTTAGCTGCAAGTTGTCATAAATATGTAATTGGTATAGGTTTTTGAAAAATAGCAGAAAAATCATTATCATGTCTAAATATGGAGATGTTCAGAATTGAATACAGATATTTGAGCTTGAAACTTGAAGAGAGGTCTGAGTTAATAGGTACAGAAAAGTGTTTGAATGATTCTTTAAAAAAAAAAGTGAATAGGTTTTTAATATCATGTTCAGTATTTTTAGGAAGTTTAGTACAATTTGTTACAATACAGATATAAATATGATAAAGTGCTACTTTAAAGCATTGTTAAGAATGTTCATGTAGTGAGTTAATGGAGTTAATAGTGAATTGATAAGATAAGAGGGCTTTACATTTGTTGAAGAGTTTAAGAATGATTTGATATTTAATGAAGATAAAGTTTTTGTTTATCAATTTTAATAAATTGACATTTGTAAATATCAAAAAATTTTTCAAACCATGCTTTAAAATCTGTTAGATAGTTGTTAAGAGAAGGGATTTGAAATGTTTAAAAAAAATATTGTTTAGATATATTAAGAGAAATATTAATATTGAATTTGTTATTGTTCTGTATTTTAAAGATAGATTAGTTAACACTATCTTTACTAATGTTTTAGTGTTGTTTAAAATAGATAGGATGGAGTTTAAGATCTTTATTAAATTTTTTTGCATTAATGGTTTTGTAATTGTTATAAAGAATAAGATGTAAATGAGCTAGATTAAGTATAATTTGTGTTCTATTTAAGGTAATATAGGGTAAAATTGAGCTATATAAAGTAAAAATTTATGATACTTAAGATATATAAAGAGAGTAATAGTGAATTCTTTAAGTTTTGCAATAAAAGTTGAGTAAATCAATTCAAATAGAATAGAAAAAGATTTATTTATAAATGGGTTGTTTTTGTATATAAAATCTGTTAAGAACTTAGGGCAGAGTTAGCTAAAGTTTTAACTAAATACATATAGTTAAACTTGGATGCTAGTTTGTCTTCAGTTGCTTTTCAGTAATTTTATTAAGATATATATTAATAAGATGTAGTTTAATAAAGTCAAGAATTTGTGAAGCTAGTTAGTTGTCAAAATGAATATAATGTTTATTTTGTTGATTCTTGGATATTTTTAAACTAATCAAGGGCATTGAAAGTATCTCTAATAATTTGTTTTTGTTTTTGTTGTTTTGTAGATTGTTGAGAATTAAATTTTTTAGAAAAGATTAAATTATAAAATTGAATTTTGTCTTTTGCTGACATAGTACTAAGTTTATAGAGGATAACAATATTTTTGTGATCTGAATTTAATGGAGTTGGATAAAAAGGTTTAAGTTTAATATTTGGAATCTTTGGTATGCAGAATCAATAAATTAGAGAGCCTTTAAAGATATATGCTACTGTGTAGTCTGGTGTATAGTTATGTTGATTGTCTGTAAAAACATATTGAATATTTTTGACTTTATAAAAAAAACAGATATGATAGTATTAGGAGTAAGTAATTATAGCTTTAAGAGCTGGATTTGTTTAGAAGTTTAGAAAAAAAAGACATGCTAAGAAGAAAAAGATAAAGAGATTAAAGATTATATTTGGTCTATTAATTTAGAAATTGAAAAAGCAGTTAGTTTGTCTAATTATTTAAAGCTTTGTGCAAAGATAGTAGTTCTAATTTAAGTTTGAGTTGAATTTGAAGGTTGACCAATTGTTGTTTGATGACTAATTTTGTAGTGTTTAGAGATAAAGCTTGTATGAAACTTGTTATAAAGACAAGTTATAATAGCAGCTTAAAGAGAAACTTTAAAATAGTGATACTGCTTTTTCTCATTACAAATATAGGGTTTAGTAAAGACTGATAGAACACATAGTGCTTGAAGTTTATTTTCTTGAAATCTAACTCCATATCTGTTTTTATATTTAGAATAATAGTAGTCAATGTTATAGAAATTTGGTTCCTGAAAGCTGGTTAATATAGATATTTTTTGGAGCTATTTTTAAAATTTCATGTAACAAATAAAGATGTAATAACTAAAAAGTGTGATAAATAAGAGATGTGACAAATAAAAGAGTGTAATGTTTAAGATAACACTCAGTGTGACATCTAAATGATCGATGTGATTACTGTATAACAAGAGTTATGTAATTTAATTAAGACTAAATTGGTAAAAATTAAAAATAGATAAAAAAATTAAATTTATATAAATAGATTAATAATATTGATTAGTAATTCAAAAGATCACAATTTCTCTAAAAAAGTAAAAAAAAATTTTTTATAAAAGTAGAATATAGTTTCTAAAATATTTTTACTATATAATTGTTAGTTTTAAACTATTTATAGTATATAATATATCAAAATAATATCAAGAATAAGCTAAACAAGTTTGTTCAATGATTTAAATAATAAACTTTTGAGTTTTTGTAGAAAGAAAAAAATTACAAAATTTAATTATATTCTAGTAGTAAATGCCTTTGAGGATATAAAACTGGGCTGCCTATATGTAAAATTCTGTTAGAACCAATTTTATTTAGATAGCCAAAATAGGTTTACTTAATAAAAAATTGAAAAAAGAATAATTATATTTAGAGAAGATTTGGTACAAGTGATCATTAGGAAGAGTTAATAATCTGCATATAAATCTAATGCTTAATAATATTTATAAATATTAGTAATATTTATAAAACATATCAACAATGCAAATTAAAAGAAGAATTTTAATTATAAAACCTCTTTACAATCTCATTTGTATAATTTACAACAAGGATATTAAGATTAGATATAATTCTAGCAATTAGCAATACAAAATATTTTGAAAAACTTAATCAATAAATTATTAATAATTTTACAAAATTTTATTATAGTTTATATAAGAGGTTCTTTTTCAAAACTTCTAATTACTAAAAAAATAATATACAGAAATCTTTTCAGATTTGAATTGTTAGAACATAAAAGTATATATTATAACTTTTGTTAACAACCTAATCATAATACTTATATTTGTACAAATAAAAAATAATAATATAAAGAAGTTTAGTTATTTGATATATAAATAAACTAAAAGAAATAAAAATGATCCAATTCTGTAACTCTCTTCATAAATCAGTTATACTAAAATTCTAGTAAAAATATTTAACTATTTCTTAATATCTTATTAAATAAACCTTATTTGTTTCCTTATGTAAAGTTGCTAAACACACTTTTCTCCTCCTAGGTGGCCAAGTTTTAAGTTTTTACAACACTTAACTACTGAGAAAAGTTCCAAAAACTAAAATTTTGGATTTTGTTAATTTTCTTAATATTTTATTAAGTAAATATATCTTGCTACCTATTAGAAAAATACTAAACACCCTTAAACCAAATCTTTTTACATCTTAATTAAAGCCTTATGTTATTAGGATTAAATTAGAATTCTAATATATATTAATGTTATTTAGAGTTATAATATATATTAATGGTAAAAAAAACTCTTTTTGCAAATCTATTGCACAAAAATTAATTAAAAAATTCATTCATCAAAAAACGCTTATAACTTTTTATTTTACTAAGAGAATCTGTTTTGGGCTTCTAAGTAAACATGTTCAGCTCACTATTTTATGTCTAGCCTGCAAATATTAAGCTTATATACTTTAAACTCATTGAGAAAATTGTACTGACGGCCTTTGGCCTCTAGTTAACAACTTTTAACCATCTTGCAGTTTCTACTGCTTTAATCTGTTTTATACTTTTAAGTAAAGTTGTAGTATATATTTATTTGGTTAAAAAAGCTTTAAATAAAGATTTTTGATCCAATATTGACCAAAGTACAACTAAATTCAATATTTACTCTTTTGCAAAACTTCTTTTTTATCTTTTGTCCTCACTTTATTCCTTTTTTCCCTTACATGGTTTTTGTATAACCATACCATCACTTCCTAATCTACACTTTATTAATTTACACCAACATTTTGTAACCAACCTATTAATAGAAACCCATTCATACAATCAATACTTCTATATTTAGTTCTTATTATTATTACACAGTAATTTGAACTGCAAATCTTACTTGTGTTCAGTACCCGAGTCACATTAGTGACCCTATCCATCTCTGTTACACTTTTGTGTCATTTCAGTGACACCCTTAAACTATAACCTCACATTTAGTTACAACCCTTGTAAAATTAATTTTTACAACTATATTTTCTATTTAGAAAATATATCTAAGTCTAAAAAATCTTTATCTACCTTATTATTATTTAACAATGCCTACCTTAAGTCAACAAGAGCCTGACACAGGAGACCTTGATTATTTCTATCAAAACTTTTCCAACAGTTTTGGAATTGCTCTCTATGAAGAAGATAACAACAACAAGGCTCGCCCAATTCTTTCCAAAGTCTAACCCAATTCTTGCTTAACAAAAAATCTTAGATCCAATAAGATTACATATTTTTTTAAAACTTCTACCTCTACTTCTATAATTACTTGCTTTTGTGACAAATATTATACCAAATTCATCTCAACCACAAATATCAATTATACCCAAGCTACCGAATTTACAACTGCTCATATTAATAGCAACTCAAAAAAAATTAATAAAACAATTCAAGAACTTATGACTAACCTATCTTCCTCTATTGACAGTGTTCTTCCATCTCCTACACCTAATATACATTACTATACTTGTCCTAAATGCTCTCTTCCAATTAGTTGTATAAAGAGAAATGAGCATCACTATTCTACTGAAAAATATATTTCCAAAAATAATGAAATTTATCATCTTACTTATATGACTACTTCATCTTAACATGAAGCTAGTTCATCCAAAACCAAGAAAAACCTTACTCAAACCTTCCAAAACATCTTACATGAATCCTTTCAAATTACCAATTCTCTTACAATATCTTCTTATCAGACCTCAACTTTTTCTGATCTTATTGATTTTTTTTTTCTACAACTACTAATACTAATCTTACTACTAATCAACCTCTTGCTACTAATATTCTTGATACCTCTAATCTTAATCTCAACAAGACCAGTAACATTAACCAAGCTGAAAATACTTCTAACAAACTTTCTTCTCAATCATACTCTAGTGTTCTCAAACCAAAATCTAACCCTACATATGATTGGATTGCAAATTTTCCAATTACTAAAGAAATGCAATCTAATAAAAAATTGCAAACCTCATTTTCTCTTCAACTTTTTACCTTCCTTAAAAAATTCCTCTATGATTTCTATTCTGGCAAAGAAATTAAGCCAGCCACTACTACACAACTAGTACTTAAAGCATCATTCTATTATATTATCCAAATTATGGCTAGACAACGTCCTGAATTCTTAACCAACCTCATCTATAATAGTAATTCTAATATTAACAAAAGTGCTACTATTCCTTTTAATTTTCTTGAATCGACTTTCAAAAAATCTACTTCTTAAATTCATAACTGTCTTTTTTAGAAAACTTAACTGTCTTGAAATCTTTGCATCACCAGTTATAATTTTTCCATACACTACTCATAACTGCCTCAAACTCTGCCTCAATCTTGCATGACTTTATCTCTTTTTATCCAATAACTATCAATCAATTAATTATCAAAAATTTGCTGAAGATTTAAAACTTAGATCTAAAAGATTCAAAATTGAATCTTTTATTCAAACTACTGATCTTAATCAAAAATACCTTACCATCCAATTAGATGCTTGATTTAATATCAAACTTTCTTTTAATATTCCTAAAACTTTATTTCTTGAAAGATTTTGCATTCCATCTCTTAAAAACTCTCTTGACCATTTCAATTCCTGGTTAAAAACCTACTATCCTCTTTATAGTAAATAATTTACTTCCAATATTGACAAAGAAAAAGTCTGTACTTCTCTTAAAATTCAATTCTGACAACATTTTATTCTTCAACTCTCTAAACACCTTCCTGAAACTTACACCTTTAAAAAACCTAACTCACTTCATGAGTGATGTGAAGAAGCATCTTGTGTTGCTAACTTTTATTGTCTCACTGGTGACAACAAAAAATGCCAATATCTTGATGATAAAAAATTTCATGATAGTACCAAACTTTTTAATAACACCTTAACCAAATAATGCTCATTATTTCCACCTCAGGATGATGAAACATAAATTCACCCAACTCTTAATACCACCTTATTTCACAAAAACAAAGAATATGCTGCCTCACTCAACCAACCTATTCCTATCAAAGCTCTGAACAAACTAGCTGATCAAGCTAAAAACTTTGTTTGTAAACAAAATAAAGTTAAATCAAATTCCAAATGTGTAATTATTACTTTTATTGCTACTTCTCACTTTACTACCAAACTGCTGCCGAAAATCACAATATACAGTCTCTGTCCAAGGAAGAGGCTATATATCTCCTAACAAAAAATATCATTAACATCAAATTTCTTACTCAAATTATTATATATTTTGATGTCATAAAAAACCAAAAGCTAACTTATCTACAAATTGTTAAATATTTTATAATACTGCTTATTTAGCAGCTGAAAAATTTTTAACAAAAAAATTTAATCTTGACTTCCAACCAGTTTTTATTCTTGACTCTTTCTTTTTACAGTCTTCTTTTTAAGTTCTTTGTCTTCTACAACCAACATTGAAGCAGCCACCATCTTATTAAAAGATACAACTAGTGTAGTTAATAAGAAGAATGAAATAAGTAGACAGGTTAACAAGTTTATTTATGTGGAAGGCCAGGATAATAATGGTTAGACCCAACGTACAGGGCAGACTATAGTATCTTGTACAGCTATGAGAGCTGAGCATACAGTAATTGATGCTGTAGAAGACAATTTTGAAAGATCATTTACAACATCTTTAATCCTCTATGATCTTTATATATGCTTTAACAAATTTCTCAATTACTACAATTTACTACTTCTTCCTTATGGTCAAACTATCCAAACTCTTATTCAACATATTAATAAATATAACAATAACAAAACTGTATCGAGTATTACATTTTTTATTAATTTATCTTATAATAAAACTCACATATACCTTCCTAATGACACTTTTTTATCAGATTACATTATTATTGTTCTACACCTCATTCCTTTATTTTACAATTTATCTCTTAAATCTAACTCTTTTAATTCAACTCCTATTATACCTGATCTATTTCTTAATAATTATTCTTCAATTCCTTCTAATTGCAATTCTTTTTTACCTTTTCTTAACCCAACCTCATATCATCTTTATCTTAATATTGTCATACATAATGTTAGAGGCTTCAATGAACCTACCAAAAGAGAAGCCTGGCAAGACTATTGTCTTAACTATGATATATCTATTGCAAGCATTACAGAAACTAAAATATCTGACAAAACTAACCTCTTCTTTTGTAATAATAACTTCTTTACTTACTACTGTCTAACTCTTCTACTTCTATTGAAGGCATTGCTATCATGATTCACAATCATCTTAAACCTCATATTTACAGTATTCATACCCATCCTGGAGATGCTATAGCATTTGATATTTTCTTTTGAAGCAATATCAAGCTTCATATCATCTAAGTATACCTGTCATTAACTGACATCTCTACTCATAATCAAACTCAAAAACTGTTATCAACTGGATCCAACAAGCATCTTAATTTAATATCCATCTTATTATTTTTGGGGACTTTAATACATAAGATAATACTCACAGTTCTTTTTCTAAATACAAACTTATTAACTTTCTTAACAACACCAATATGTATGATATTGGGACTCATTTTAATAACAAACACTTTATCTGGTCTAACAATACTAGTAGTAGTCATATTGACTACATTTGGACTAACCAATTTAACATACAATTTCTTCTGTCTTATAGTCTTGATAATAGCCAAACCTCAACTTTCAGTGATTACCTAATTCTTTCTTCCACATAGACATTTTCACATGTTTATAACAAACTCTTACATAAACATACTGGTATCAGTCACTGTATCTTTAATTACAAGACTATGTCTACAGAGGAC